TATGTTACGTGAGCTGTCAAATCCCAAGTCATCTTCAATTAGAATTTGTCTTCCTTTTGATATATAATGAATTCTTCACATTTTCCCGTGGTTTTTTGCGTTTAGGTTTTTTCAAAGTAAATCTTGGTACTTATTTATTTGTGTTTGTGATTTGTCTTTTCACAATTGTTCTTATAACTAAAATTAAAAAAAAATTAAAAAAATGTGTTGAATTAACAAAATTTACTCGAATCGATTTGATTTTCAAAACAAACTTTTTTCCATTTCAATAAATATATTGATATAACAACCTAGCTATTAGAAATCTGATAGTGTGAAGGACATTTTTTGTTACAAAAAATTTTAGAAGCAAACATAAGACTTTAAGTAAATATAACATACGACCTTTGCCTACTCCTATACTCAAAGATTCATGAAATAAAATTGATTATCCCATAAGCATTAGACTGAAATGATTCAATAATTTTACTAATTTTGTAGGTTTTATCAAATTTTGGGGCAAACAGAATTGTGGTTGCTGGTCTTCCACCAATGGGTTGTCTTCCCATTGTCATTACACTCAAAGCAAATGATGGAATCCATGATAGAGGATGCATAAGCTCCCTCAATTCCATAGCTCTTGACTACAACCAGAAGCTTCAAGCAACACTACAAGAATTTTCTTCTTCTTCTTCTTCAACCGAGCTTCAGATATTCTATGTGGATTCATATAAACCTCTTATTGATATTATAACAAGTCCAGCTTCATATGGTAATCCTTTCCCTTCTTCTCACTTAAATGTTGGTTCAGAAAATGAACGTAAATTTGCTCTGCTAAATAAAAAATAATAAAAAAAACACACCCTTCTTATGTAGGATGTAAATCTTTATATTTAATTTTTATGACAAATTTTAGACCTAGTGATGATATAGATATGGTAATGTCAACATCTAATCAAATGACAAAATCTTAGTTTTTTCCTTGTTTGGTATTTAAAACATTTATTAGTTTCTCGCAACCAAATGAAACCTTTAGCTTTCATGAATGCTTTTTTACTTACCTTCTCTAAAAATATTAAATGGTATGAATTATTAAGTTCCGAGACATCTTCGCAAGGCTCATTTGGTTGCTTCAAAAATGATAAATTTATTCTATTGTATCATAAATAATAATTAATATTGATTTTAAAGCTCTATAAACACTTTTTAAACCCCTCAAAAATGGTTTCTTAAGTTGAAAATAAAGTCTTAAACATACTTTTATCTCGAATCAACCAAATGCTCCTTGGATAACATTTTGAAGCTGAGAAGATATTGAGCACCAACTTGAAAAATCATTAAGTAAAACAGCAACATAAAGCTCAATTTATAACACATTTTTTGTCACATTAGGTGCCTTTGATCTAGAAAAATTAACTGCTTTTCATCACTTAATCTATATACAAGAACCTCAACGAACCTCTTTCATAAAATTTATCTTTGTTTCACCTGAAAACAATCATAGGATTCATGATGTCATCCGAAGGATGTTGTGGAACCGGATTGGTCGAAGCGGCGGTGCTCTGCAATCCCAAGTCCCTCACGTGCATTGACGCCTCAAAGTATATTTTTTGGGACTCCATTCATCCAACAGAGAAGGCTTACTACATCATGTTTAACAGTTTCAAGCCAGTGATAGACTATGTACTAAAGAGCTACTAGTATGTTTATTTCATTGTTTCACTTGTAAGATATCATAATTTCAATACTAAAGACTCAAGAGCTTATATTTCCAAATTGCAAGCAAAAGTGTTTTTTCTGAGACAATAAACAAAGTTCAAAAAGAGGTAATGTGTATAATGGTTGCAATTTACACAAACATATGGTGTTTAAGATAATGTCGCATGTTTGAAAGAGCAGATAAGTCATTTTTTATTTGGGAATCTGCAAGATTTTTTTTAGCCAGTGGCACTGGATTAAATGTTTTAAAAGTTATGAGTGATTTTATGAATAATTTTAATATGCGTTATGAGGAAAAGAACATTGGGGAACTAAAAGACCAAAATGATCAGATAGAGACATTGAAACATATAGGACTTTTAAGGTATCTATGAATCTTTAATATGAATCTGTTCATATCGACATGACATACAGGACTTTTAAGGTATCTACGAATCTTTAATATGAATCTGTTCAAATCGACAAGAATTTACTTGAGTCATTATATATACGATATGAGCTCATCACAATGATGAACTTGTTGAATTTATGAGAAACTCACAAAGTTTAAAAAGTATTCATCAAAGATTAAGCATATTCATTCAAGCATAGGGATATTCACCCAAACACAGGAACTGTTCGCCATGTTGATGACTTTTGAAAGATAAACAACAACCTATTCTAGGAAAGTTAGCTTCAAATTTGAGTACTTAATTCTAGTGAAATCAGATTTAGAGCAACAGAGAGATAGATCTTATCATATGTCTTCTTATTTATAGAATTTACTATAGGGAAATGTACATTCTTAGCGCACAATTCTGATTTATTACATTTCTCACACCAAAATTTCATATTTACATATACAGGACTTTGTGTTGAATCCAAACTTGTCTTTTGTATACATGCTCCGAAAGTTGGAGTTGAAAGGAGAAGAGAGAGGAATAGAGTCGATAGAGAGACAGAGAGAGAGAGAATGTGCCCTTTCATTTATGACATGTCGTCCTATTTATATAGGTCTAAAATACAGTTGCAGAAAAGAGGGGGAACGGTTATAATAATCGCCCAAATGACTGAATCAGAGTTTCTGTCGAGGGAAAAGTACATTATATACAGAAGAAATATAATGCTTATTGACCGTTGGATGCTTTGGTTTTTGTTGGTCATGTCAATCGATCGTTTATATGAAATCTCTTCCGCTGAGGGGAACGATCAATCGATGAAAGGAATCAGATCAATTTGGTGAGACGTTCTTCGGTCAATACGTCCATCGGTCGATTTTGTTGTATGGTCGATCAACTACTTGGTCAATCCACATCTCGCTCTTTGGCTCAAAACTTTGGTTGCTTGAAACTCTATTCCTAGCAGTTTGTTCCCTTTGAGATTCATGTGGCATTTTTGTTGTATACATATTAGTTCCTCAATTTTTCTACTCTTTGAAAGCGACAGCTAAGATAAGGATAGAAAAATTATTAAGCAACAAATGACACTGTAAATTAAAAATTAATTCATTAATTAATTTTTCCTTATGTTTTGTGCCTAGTGAACCCTATAAATAGGGCATGAAGGCTTATGTTATATTCATTTCATTCAACGTCTCTTGGATTTCTCGAGTGACATTATGGTTGACGGTTCGAGCAAGAAGAACATTGATTTTCATCTTTTAGCTTTGAAAGGCTTTTTGCTTCATGCCTCTATAAGAGTCCAAAAGAAAAAAAATGAGAATTGTAAAGAAAAGGAAGCGGCTGACACCGATCTGAGTAGGTTGACCAATTCACTTCTTTGAAAGGACCTGACAATGATGCATCAAAGAAGTCTTTGAATATTGGCACTTTCCATAAAGAGTTGACATTTGGTCCAAGCATTGTCGTGATTGTCGAAGAAAATCTGCAGGTTGTTCCACCCATCAAAGGAACCAATAGTGGTTAGGGTGGAACGAAAGAGAAGGTTGTCGTCGATTTTCTTCCACCCCTACTAGAGGACAGGGATGACGGCCTCCCGACACAAGGGACAGATAAATTTTATATTACCCTTTTTGAATTAAATAGATATTTGGGTATGTAAATTTTTTTGACTTTGCAGCTTTCAATGATTTCTTGACATTTTTCTTAATGCAGATGAGCAGACTGCATTAGAGAATCATGTTGATTGTGAATCATCTAGGAATATAATCTTTGATCATCACCAATGTTTGCGGTTGAATTGCAAAATACATCCGCTGCATCACTTCAATCGATTGATGAAGGTGTGTATCGGTCGATAGACCCATTCAGCATCTCCCAACAGGAACATTTGGAGCTATCCTCCAGTTTGATGGAACATCGAATAAGAAAAATAGTTGGCTCTTCAATGAAAGCGATCAGAGAGTCTGCTGGTAGGCTTATGTGAGAGTTATTGACTCACTTGGCAACATTGGAAAGAGAGGTTGTTGTGCTTCATAGTGAATTGATTGATGTACGAGCTGTTAGGGCCCACTTGAGAGTTGACTGTTCTGAACAAATTCCAACAAGATTTCAACTGAATGGATCAAATTAGGATAGGCAGAGAGTTGATCTTCTGAAGGATGCTTCAGTAAGAGTTTTCTTTAGCTGAAGCAACGAAATACCCATTTTTTAAGTTTTTTCTTCAAAAACGGTTGTTAACGTCTTCTTGAAGATTGTTGGCTTTGCTGAGTAGCTTCTTGAAGGATTTAATGGTGAATCCCTTGAGCATGAAAGTACTGGCCCATGGATGCTTTTGAGTAGAATCTCATTCGCATGATGTTTCTGTAGTTGAGGTTCAAATTTCATGCTAAGATTTTCTCCACCTCAAGATATAATCCACCAGACTCTCGTTGGGTCTTTGCTTCTCCACTACGAGATCTCCAATAGAAACATGGTGTTATGCTCTAGCAAATCTCTTTACGAACATCTGTTCTAATTCAGCGAACGTCTTGATTGATCTGTTAGGTAACTCGACATACCAGTCAAAAGCAATCCCTGAAAGGCTGCTGACAAACTGTCGTAAGATTAAGGCTTCATTTCCTTCAGTGTAGCCACAACTGACTCGAAAATGTGTTATAAGTTTCCTGGGATTTCCGGTCCCGTCAAATATCTTAATGTTTAGCGACACAAAACCCTTTGATTAGGGTACAATATTGAACTCCTCCAGATAAGGTCTACCATTCAAAATCAATGCACCACCCTTAGATTGAGCTAAGGCCTCCCAAACTTGCTCGATCATTTGCTTAAATTTCTTTCTGGTATGACACTTGATGGAGAATCCTTCTTTTGTTGTTCATGTCTTTTCGCCGAGGCAACTTCCCTCCTTTCATTTGTGATATGTATAATCTCTGATTGGTTGACTTCTGGGGAGGCTAACTGTGGTGGTTGAGACTGTCCTTGAGTTGTTGTCATGGCGATCATGGCAACGCCCATCTCTTCCATTATTTTCTTCATTTGGTCGATTTGCTCATCCCTTAGGAAAACAGCCCTACGCAACTTATCTATGACGTTCTCTTTGATGAGAGGTTGAGTGTCCTGCGCAAATGCACCAGCTCTGGCCTCGATGATATGGACATACATGAAATATTCCTCCAGGTAATAATTGAAGTCAAATTCTTCATCATCATCAATGGAAACTCCATATTCTTGGGCCAACTCGAAAATCTCAACCTTGAGCTTTTCAATATTTTCTTCAATTATTAATTCTTGTAGCACCTTGAGATCTGCAGGACTTTGCTAGACATTCTCTACTTGTTCATCCATCTCGCTAACAGTTGTTACGACAATACTGGATACTTCGGACTTTGAGACGGAGTGTCTATGCAGAAACATTGACATGTCGAAGAGAAGTATGCTCCCAATGGTTCAGACCAAATACAGTATTGGGTGATCTCTTCATCTTTTCCTTCAGAACTTTAAAAACATCTTTGTGACTGGTAGTTGGTAGAATTCTCGGACCCAAACACATCTTAACTGGTCAACGACGTGCGGGTCTAGTGACAACAGAATTGGTAGCAACAATGGTGGCATCAATTTTGCTTCCTAAGCAGAACCAAACGGGAATGTGAGCAAGCAAAGCTTCAGTTAATTTCTGAGATCATCTAGTGGATCTGACATCTCTTAGAATTTCTTTCTTCATGTGAGGGGATACTGCACATCCCACTCGTTTGAATAACTCATCAATTGAACAATCTTCTTTGACAGCTAGTCTCTGGAAAACTGTACTGACTTGGGTGATAGGAGCAGGCTTCTTCCTCTCCCCGCCATGTCCATGAGGTGATGGTAAAGTAGCGACGATCTTCTAGATATTTCCGTACCCATTAGTATCCATTAAGGGATGGAACCTACTCCCCTTGCAGAAGCGGATAGGTCTCCAGTAATCCTGACTCATCAGCAGGTACTTCCTTGGAAATCTAGGCTTCAATAGCCCTCCGAACCTTCCGGCTGTGGTTTCTCCTTTTGGTTCGGGTTAACAGTGCGGTCCTTGAACTCGATTCAATTTCAAATATTGACAGCAAGACAACCAATCATTCAGTCGGGTCTTTGACGATCATAACTTCTTATCCCTTAGTAGAAACGGGAACAACAGGCTTAGTAGGTGCCATGATGGCAGTAGTCTTGACCCTCTTGTAAGAAGGGAAATCTTGAGGGCAGTTTAGGTTAAACCAGTAGACGGTTCCTGAACCTTTGGAGCAACAACTTTCATCACGACAAACGGGGCTTTCCCTAATATAACCTCGAGTTCATTAAATCCTACTTCAAACTTGATGGTGGGAGTGACATTGCAGGCACTGTGGCTTGTCGGCAGGTTGCACGAGAAAGTGAGCATTGGGAATGACATTACAACAGCTTCAAAAAAAAAGAAAGCTATGGGATCAATTATTTGGCCAATATCTCGTAATCTTAGTGCGAACACTACAAATTAACAGAGGTTGATCTGCAGACCGGGTAATTCTTTACTTAATTTGTGAAGATTTTAAGATTTTAGTAAAAATAGTTTGAAACTAGAAAGATTTAATTAATATAAAGTAAATTAAAGAGCACGCGCAACACGACACAATTCGATTTAGTTCTCAAAATAGCAAATTAAACTCGAAAGGGAAAAAGTGAAGTTCAGGATCCAGTGTGAGACCAAATTTACAGCATACAATGCTCAGACAAAACTTGCCCACCAACACACCTATTGGGGGTCCGACCACACACTAAGATTAAAAAGTTCTTAATGGTCTCCTGAATCTTTTTGTTCAAAGGTGATTGAACAGGCTGTCCTGAAGTCCAAAAAAGTTGATGGTACTTACCCAAGACAGAAATGAGTGAAACATGCTAACTAAAGAAGGATAATCTGGTTCATGAGGGACATGAACACATTACTGGTGTATGAAGATAATATTTTCTGATTAATATGGAGAGAGAAACTTGTCCCCAGCGGAGTCGCCAGAAGCTGTCGTCATTATTTGGTTGTGGAGTTGTCCGTTGGAAGCTGTCGGCCGCCGGAACCGAAATCTCATTGCTCATTTTTTAAAATCAAATTTTAAACCTTATTCATCATTCAAGAGCACCACTTCAATTGCACCAACACAAATGGTTAATGTCGTTGGCTTCAACGCACCGCAGGCAAGTGTTCTTCCTCTTCTCTTTCTCCGGTGCCCGACATCGGCCTCACCACCTCACCAAGCTCCTCCGCTCCTGCACCGCCGTTTCAGATCTCCATCGAATTCATGGCGCCATGATCAAAACCGGCATCGACCTCCTCCCCTTCCCCTCCGCCAAACTCCTCGCTTCTGCCACCCTTCTCGATCCCGACCACGCCTTCTCTCTCTTCCGCCTCCTCCCTTCGCCGACCCTCTTCTCCTTCAACTCCATTCTCCGAGCTCACTCTCTCGCTCCCGACCCAAACGTACAAGAAACCTTTTCTATCTTCAACTCAATCAGAGCCCGAGCCCTCTCGCTCGACCAGTTCTCCTTCATTGCCGCCCTCAAGGTCTGTGGTCGCAAACTGGCCATCACTGCCGGTGAACAACTGCATTGTTTGGTAGCCAAGGCCGGTTTTGATTACTTCCTCAATCTATGGAATACGCTTTTACATTTGTACTCTGCATGTAGCAGGCTCGCGGCTGCACACCAACTGTTTGATGAATTGCCTCATATAAAAGATGCTGTTTCTTTCAATGCCCTGATTGGAGGCTATCTCCGGACCTCACAGCCGGAGAAAGTTCTCACCTTTCTAGGAAATATGTTTTATTTTAGCATGGAAGTCAGTCCAGCCACCATTGTCAGCGCTTTCTCAGCAGTTACAGACAGTAATTACAATGGCGAGCCCCTCCATGGCCACTGCATCAAAACTGGGCTTACCTCCGAGCCTAAGGTGGCGACTGCGGTAGCAACGATGTATGCGAAGAACGGAATGATGGAACCCGCATGACAGACGTTTGATGAAATGACACGCAGAGATGTTGTCCTTTATAATTGCATTATAGATGGGTACGCTAAAAAAGCTTCATTGGATGTCTGCTTGGTTCTGTTGCAGAAGATGAGGGAAGATGGAGTTAAATCAAATGCAGCCACGCTTCTAGGACTACTATCATCCTGTGCTTCCTCTGGTGCTTTAGGTTTTGGGCGGCATATCCACGACTACGCAAAGGAGGAGAAGTTGGAAATCCAAGCTTCTCTGGGGACCGCTCTGTTGGATATGTATGCGAAGAATGGATGTCTGGAGGAAGCAATTTCAGTTTTCAACCAAATGAAGGATAGAGATGTGAAGGCATGGACAGCCATGATGATGGGATTTGCAGTTCATGGCAGGTCAGAGGAGGCTCTGCGGCTGTTTGATGAAATGGAGGAGAGTGGGATGAGGCCTAATGAGGTGACCTTACTTGCTGTTCTCTCTGCTTGCAGCCATGGGGGATTTGTGGGCTTAGGAAAAGATTACTTCAAGAAAATTGTTTTTGAATACAGGGTAAGCCCTGGGATTAAGCATTATGGATGCGTTATTGACTTGTTGGGCAGGGCTGGATTGCTGCGAGAAGCTTATGAGCTGGTGAAAAGCCTGCCTAATGGAGGAGATGCCATGGCTTGGCGAGCTTTGCTTGCTGCATCCAGGGTTCATGGAGAGATAGGATTGGGAAGCTGGCCAGAGAAGTTTTGGCAGCCATGGGTGAGCACCACCCAAGTGATAATATTCTTCTGTTGAGCAGCTATGCCTTTGCAGGGAGATGGGCAGAAGCTAAAGAAGTTATGGATTTGGAGGTGGAGGGGGGAGAGATAATAAGGAAGGAGGCAGGACGCAGCTCCGTTGAGATGGTAGGTGGGTAGAGTTGAAGAAGAAAAAGTTTTGAGGAAATGTGCAGAGGAGCTGGAGCCTGAATTTGGGACGGAGAATCGAGGTCAGATTATTTTGAATTGATTTATTTGTTGATATACAATAGATTAATCATGTTTATAATTCATTAATTTGAAAAACAAAATGTATAATTAATTTAATTTTGTTTGGTTTTCTTTCTTCCACATGACCTATGTTTGAAGAATTGCAGCTTAACTTGTAACCGTTCTGGTTATTGTACTCGCATGTATACTATATTGGTTCGAGATACAGTAAATAATCCTAATATGCAAGCTTCCAGTACTCACCCTGCAACCAAAAAAGAAAAAAAGTTCTAGCTTTTTTCTTGAGAAATTGATTGAGCTAAGATTTGTCTCATAAGTTGATCCTTAAAACAAAGATTTGCACAGAAAGTGTTAGTTCAGTGAATTTAAAGCTAGAATTCAAGGGCCATGTGGGATTAATATTACTTTTTGCTATTTTTTATTTTGTTTTGCTTATATTTTGGCATGTTATAAAAAATTTTGATATATTATAAGCTAATTAATATTACTTTCAAGTGTTGTTAAGAAATGCTGACACTTCACTGTGTCGTTGATCTACAACACTCTTACTGATGATTTAAAAGAAGTCACATGATCGGCTAGATCATTCTTCCCTTTATAAGGAAACAAACGAGGAAACTTTAACTTCTCTGGGGGGTACTACCTCCATGATTTGTTGAGTAAAATAAGTATCTTGGGGTGGCTAAAAAGGTTCCTCAACTCGCTCTACCTGATGCCTGACCATCAGCGTAGACCCAGTGTTGTCAACATGTTGGGAATCTTCGTGTCCTTTGGTCTTTCTATTGCTCATTCGACCGTTGGGTACTGGTAGGTTCTCAGAATGTACCCCTTAAGGCAAGGTCATCGAGACCCCACCTCCAGAAGAGGTGGTTGATCATTCCTTCAAGTAATTGCTTCTTGGAGGGCCTCAAATTAGCTTATCATTTGCTTTCGCAACTCTCAGACTTGCTTTCGAATCTCTTGATGCATTAACTTCCTTGTGAACACCATTAGTGTTGCGTCTCTCTGTTGAAATTCTCCTTTTGTAGTGTGCTCTCCTTCTCGTCTGCAGCAATATGATGCTGAAAATCCTAACTTGTCTTTTTGTGTACATGCCTCAAGAGTTAGAGCTGAAAGGAGAAGAGAGAAAGAGTCGATAGAGAGGGAAAGATAGAATTTATCCCTTCATTTTTGTTTTGACCACTTACTTATAGGGGTCTAAAACACAGTTACACAAAAGAGGAGGAAATGTTATAATAACCGCTCAAATGACTGAATTGATGTGTCTATGGGAAAAGTACATTATAATACAAAAGAAATATAATATTTATCGACCATTGGAAGCTTTGGTATCGACTCACCATGTCGATCGATCGTATATATGAGATCTCTTCCGTTGAGGGGACCAGTCGATCGATAGCTGGCATCTGATCGATTCAGTAAGAGGTCAGTCGAACAATATGTCCATCCGCCAGCCGATTTTGTTGTGCAGTCAATCGACTGCTTAGTCAGTCCGCATCTCACTCTTTTGGCTCAGGGCTTCGGTTGCCTGAGACTTCATTTCTAGCTGTTTGTTCCCTTTGAGGTTTGAACTGTCATTTTTGTTATATGCACTTCTTATTATAAACTTATGCATGAAAATATTTATTTCAACTTAAAAAAGTGATAATACTACTGATTTGAATATGATATTAAAGATTTAAATTTTATGTGCATGAAAATTTAGGTGTGAAATACATAA